TGGCTAAGTAAATGAATATTTTCTTGGGTAAAATGTTGACTGAATATAAGATATTAGGGAAATGTTTAAAAGATTTTATCAGCGGGTCTCTTTTCAATAGCACTTACTTGGGAATGAGTTGAAAAACCAAGCACCAGCTAGTTTGGCCAGAAACTCCTCACTCTGGGGAAGCTGGGAAGCTGCAAATATCCCAAGGATGGAATTCATTTAAGGCTTCTATCAGCATCAGAAAGCTTGACAAGTGCCTAAGGAGGACTCGATGATCTGATTGGCTCCAAATGCCTTGGTGCTTTTGAAAACAGATCTGTAGACAACTATGGGAAGAACACCCAGTCACATATCTCTGACATTCAGAGGTAAGACCATCTGTTCACTTAGGCATTTATGCTTTTGCATTCAACAAACATTTGTTAAGAATATACTACATGCCAGGAATTGACTAAACCGTGGTCCCTGCCTTTAGGATCTCATAGTCTAATGTGGGAAATGGACATTTAAAAAAAAGGCACTCAAGTGTGTATATCATGCTAGGGGTGTAGAAAGAAATACGTAACTGTCCTGGGAAACTTAAGGCCTACAAAGCAACAATATTTGAGCAGAGTCTTGAATGGTGAGTGGAAGAGGGTCCGATAAAGAAGGAAGACACCTCAAGCTGAAGACACTGTAGATGTGTGGGCTGAGAGGTGCCACCATTGCCGAGGTCTGACGGGTGCACGCACGTGCCTGCATATGAGGCATATTTAGGGTGTTGGAGATGGGGTCTAGAAAATAAAATTGGCAAGGGCCAGGGCAGAGACGTCCTTCTAGCATATAGTTCTTGTGGTTTGGGCCCTGCCATCTCAACTTCTTCCTTCCCAGTACCCCTAAGACTCAGCACCCGCCATGGCACATTAGGCTTCAGCAACATTGATCTTCCCTAGCGACTCAAATGTGCTGGCTCCTCACCTGCCCTGGGCTTAACACACACCTCCTTTTACCCGGAATCCTCTTCCCCAGCGCTTTGCAGGGCTGGTCCCATTTTATCCATCAGGTCTCAGCTTAAATGCCTTGGTCAGGAGAGGTCCTCCCTCATCATACTGTCTGAAAGAGCTGCCCTCCCACCACGACCACCATTGCCCTTCGCTTTCTTCCTTGCATCCCTGGTAACATGAACCAACTTCAGGAGTCATGTTTTAATTTTCTTGATTTTTTTTTTCCTGCCTTCCCCAAAGCACACAGGAATCTTTTCTAATTTTCATCTCTCTTCCCTTAGTGCCCAGCACAGTGTTTGGAGTGTTTGTCTCATAATTTGTACTTGATAAACATTTGGCTTCATGAAATGGATGGATATGATGGGGAAGGGCAGCTGTTGTTATGGTATATGGGCTTTTCCGCATAAACATCTCTACCTTCACCAGCAAACCAAGTGTGTATGGGCATGGGCAGCATTTGGGGTGTTGGGAGATGGGGGCTGGAAAATCAAGTTGTTAAGGGCCAGTGCAGAGACCTCTCTCCAGTGTGTGGCCCCTCAAACTTCCATCTTCCTGATGGCCCCCCTTCTTCCCAAGTCTCCTCTTAAGTCTCACCAGTGAAATGGGATGATGAAATGAAGTGATGGGTGCGAATGTATGTATTAAATCTTATATACACAGCAGGTTTTGGGAATCGCCCTGTCGGTGAAGTGCTGGAGCAGTTAAGGTAGGCAGGTGCTTCTGAGGGGTCCAGTGGAATGATTCTTTTTGTTTCCTGTTTTGGTCTGTATCTAAAAGACTAGGCTCTGAATAGTGGAGCTGCATATGTGGGGAAAAGAATGAAGGCTTGTTCGAAATCTCCAACACATACCATCATCTAGAGTTTAAGGATGGGTTTAATAAAGGATCTTGTATTTGGGGATCCGTGGAGGAGCCAGCATAAAAACTTGGCCTTTGGGTTTCATTGAGGCTTCCACATACAAATAACCTGTCAAAGGTAATATTTTGGTACTAATTAAAAGGATTTCAATTAGGTTCCTAAATGTAGTAGACTCTGTGTCTTATTACTGTAACCAGCCAAGAACCTCATATTATTTTGTTTATAGAGCCATTGGCATTTTCTTTTTAAGACTTCAAAAATGCTTTGGACTGATTTTTAGATCTTAACATTACCCCCCATCCCCTCCCCTCCTCAGTACAGCCAGAATGTGATATAACTTCAGTTTAAGTGAAACTTGTAACATGCCAAAGAAAAACTATTTCTATGTTTATTTATTCCCCAAATACTTTGGCTGTACTCCTGTGTGCAAAACACTAAATGACATGTGCATGACACTTTTCCTCACACTTCAATTCTTCAGTGAGAGGATAAAGACCCAGACCATGATTTACAGTAACTGTTGGCTGTACATGATGGAGGTCACAAAATGCTAAGAGGGCCCAGACCATATCCAGTTAGACATATTAGCAAGACTGCCTGAAAGAGATGGCTGGAAATGAATTTGAAGGCTGAACATGGTCCATGGGACCCTCCAAGAGCTGGCTCTTGCCTATTTTAGTCTACTTGATTTTCTTACCCTCATTTTCCAGTCGCCTGAACACTGCCTTCCTGGGGAATACTTCCCTGTCTCCCAGAGTCATACAGATCTTGTCAGTAGTCCCCAAATAATCTCTCTTCGGTTTACTGAGGATAAGATATGCAGGACACTAGCCTGGCTTCTGAGTGGGATGTGGTTCCTGCCCCAAGAACACATACCAGAGAGAAATATTAACAGTTATATGTTCGTGAGATAAGTCATGACTCACATGTCCTAATGTCCATCAGTGTTGCTGCTGCCTACCTGTGTTGAGTACAAGAATTGATATTAAGCATTTTAACTTTTATAGCAATGTGACATTGCTGAAATCTTTCAGTTTATAACAGATTGGATGAAAACAGCTAGTCCTTTACCACAGATAGTTTGAAAAGCTGGTATGTAGATTACCCCAACTTGGATATTTTTGATAGGAACATTTTTGCATACTCATAATCCCCTCTAATATAAGCAGATAATCATATCAATGGGGTTTTTAGATCCCACTTTATTAATTATGGAAATAGTATGTCTTCAGTATGGCAACTTAGGAAGTGCAGAAGAGTCTTTGTTTGTTAAAGCAAATAAGGTAATCTGTACGTTTGTCACAGAACTAACTGCTGTCTGCATTCTGTTGTATTTATCTTGTCCTTTTTTTTCCTGCTCATATATATGAATTTTTTCTTACAAAATGGGACCCTGTATACTTTTCTTTATTTTACGCAAGTATTTGCATGCCATTAAATATTCTTTTACAAGGGGCTGCTTGGTAGTCTGTCATCTAGTTGTACCATCATTTATTTACCTTTTCTGTATAGTCCTTCATTACCAGAACTTATTTGATGCCCTTATTTGCTCTTACAGATAATGCTTTGGAAATTTCTATGAAAACAGTTTTATAACATCTCTGAATATTTCCTAAGCTTACATTCTCAGAAGTAGAAATACTAGGTCAAAATGTGTGGCTATTTTAAGACTTTGATAAGTTGCCCTTCAGAAATGTTGAACTGAATTTCAGCTATCAGCAGCAGTGGGTACACTCTCAGGAATGGTACTTTCAGGGTGGGAGGATGCTACGAGACAAAGATAAGAGCAAGAAGGAATGAGTGGTCTGCTTGGGTGGAAGGCATTCACAGCCTTGTTCTACCACCTCCTGACCTAAATATGTTTTTGCTACCCTGCCCTTCCATCTCTTGAAGGGCCAATTCTCATCCCACTTATTGTTTTTAACCTATCTCTTTTTAAACATTGAAAACTCAAAGAGTTATATATGAATATATGTTCACTGTTTTTTAAAAAGCATGGAAAGAACATTCTTTTTCTAATTTTATTTCATTCTCGGAAGAGAAGAATTAGGGATTTCCTGTCTATCCTTCCAGACCATTTGGTGGAAATAAATGTACATGTATGGCTTTTTGTATGAGGTTTTTAAAAAGACATAGTAGCATCATGCTATGCGTATTGTTCTTCTTTGACTTGCTTTTTTCAACAGACAACATCAACTGGATATCTTTCCAAGGCAATATATATAATTGTAACTTAAAACATATCCTCTATCATCACTAAAACATATTTTTGTGGTGAAAATTTGGATTCAAAAGGATATAAACAAATGCCTTGGTCCTTTTAAATTAGTGTATAATCTTCTATTTGGTGAATGTGTGTGTGTGTGTGTGTGTGTGTGTGTGTGTGTGTAATTTAACCATTTCTTTTCCTTACTGGTGAACTCATTTAGTCTTTTCAATTTGAAAATCTCTGGCCCTTCTAGCTCAAGTCCCTCTGGCTTTGTTGTGAATTTAAATTAGTTAATACAATGAAGATTGACTGAGTGCCTCCTCTCTTCCTGGCATTGTGCAGGGCACTAGGCCCACAGAGTACTTGATGTACAGCCTCTTCCCCTCACTTCAGTTCTCACAGTCTAACAGGAAGACGCACTCATAAAGAGCTTAGACTGTGACCGTGCTGGAGTGGATAGTCATGTCATAGCATATATGTTATTAAGTCTATTTAGGGAAGGTAAAGAAGAAATTGGAATCAAACTTTAAAAGATAAGAAAGAGATCTGCTAGGGGGCAAGGAAGAGAAGGTTATTCTTCCAAGGAGAGTAACAAGATCAAACTAGGTTGGCAGGAAAGGGGATGTGATGTACAAAGAACAGACAGTACCTCAGGATGATTAGAGTGTATGTTGTTGGGGAAGTGACTGGAGTTGTCCTGTTTGCTCAGCAGTTATTGCAGGAAACACATTCAACAAGTGAATAGAAGGGTGTGTGTTTTCTGCCCAAGTGGACTCCAATCCACTCAGTGTTGTTCTCTCTGTGCCCTGCAGAGCGCCCTCAATGTCACCAGCACACAGAGCTCTTTCTCGAGTTGGTCTGGCCTTTTAAAAATCATTTTGTCTGTTCCTGTACTCTTAACCATGTCATGTCCTCTTTTTGCAGAGTTTAGTCACATCAAGAAATAGAACAGAATTCAGCCATGGCCCCAAGAAAGAGAGGTGGACGAGGTATTTCATTCATCTTTTGCTGTTTCCGAAATAATGATCACCCAGAAATCACATATCGGCTGCGAAATGATAGCAACTTTGCGCTTCAGACCATGGAGCCAGCATTGCCCATGCCCCCTGTGGAGGAGCTGGATGTCATGTTCAGTGAACTGGTGGTGAGTCCCAGTTTTCTATTCTGGCATTGGTGGGGAGCCAGGGAAGGAGAAGAGGAGAGCATGTGAATGGGTTGGTTTGGTTTGCCATGGACTTTTCCTTTTCAGTGAAACAGCCCGCATTCACCTTTACATCTGCACTCTCACTGTCAGCACTAAACCTGTGGAGAAGAAAGAGTTAGAAGAGAGTAGAGTTACTACATCCAAGTGTTTTGCTGGTGCTTTAAGTGGATGGGAGTATTTAGACCTTCAGTTCTTCAAATATGTGCCAATACTGCATCTTAAGTTGCTCTTCCTAATTTGTCTCCATCCCAACCTTAGTCTATACATAATTAATTCCTTCATTTACTTCACACCTGTCGGGATTCCCTAATGCTCCCCTACCTCCACGCCCACTATATAGTATCAATGTGTTGTTTAAAAATTAGTCATACTTCCCATCCTGTCTTTGATGCTTTGGTGTAAGACATCACTTAAGTACAGCATCATTACTTAGCCTAATGATAGGATTAGAATAATAACTGTTGTGGGAATCTTTTTATAGATACTATCATATTTTAGAATCCAGTATACTGAAATGAGGGATCTAGTGCAGGACCCATTCATCAAGAGATGTAAGTATATAATTCAGCTTAGCTTTTCAAGTATCAAGTGATCTTTCTTTCTATTCTGTATGTGAGAGGGTATTATGGCAGAGTTTAAAGGTGCTAGCATAGGAATTAGGAAGACCTTCATTCAAATCACTGCTCTGACTTTATCTGCGTAATTGTAAAAAAGAAATTATGTTATTTTTCTGATCCTGTTTTCTGGAGGAAAGAAACATCTCCTTCTAGGTTTGACATAATGTTTCAGTGAGTACACAGTGGGAGTTGCCCAGTGCCTAGCCATGTAACGTGCTTAATACTGTATCCTGCCTTGATCACCACTGGCATTTTGTAGTGGAGTTAGTTCTTTTTTTTCCTTCAACTTTTATTTTAAGTTCCGAGATACATTTGCAGGATGTGCAGGTTTGTTACATAGGTGAACGTGTGCCATGGTGGTTTGCTGCACAGATCAGTCATCCCCATCACCCAGGTATTAAGGCCGCCATCCATTAGCTGTTCTGATGCTCTCCCCACTCCTCCATCCCTCCCGCCCCCTGCCACAGGCTCCAGTGGATGTTGTTTCCTCCCATGTTTCCATGTATTCTCATTGTTCAGTTCCCAGTTATTAGGGAGAACATGTGGTGTTTGGTTTTCTGATTCGTTTGCTGAGGATAGCAGCTTCCATCTCTCTCCATTTGTCTGTAAAGGACATGGTCTCATTTGTAATGGAGTTAGATCTAAACGGACCATTTATATTGTTCAACAGACACTAGAGAATAGTATTCATTTTGCATGATTCTTAGGTCAAGAACGTACTGTATGCTGTGTCAGTGCTCTCCTGGGTAATATCTGAACTGGCCGTGCCACTCCAACTCTTAGAGACCAGAACTCACTTACAAAGCAGAAAAATAAGCTGATATGAGAGAGACTATGAAGCTAATGTTTGATTTCCGGTCTCCTGCATGGAGCAATGGGCCTGTTGCCAACCAGAGTTGGTCGGGTAGAAGAAAAGATGACTCCCACCAGTGTGCTTGCACTTTATGTTGTTGAATATTTTCAATGTTGAAGGAATTTCTCTTTTCTCTGATCTCCACTGCATGAAGAACTCTGCTGTAGGTGTTAACAAGGAAGTTTGAAATAGAAAGCTAGAACCTGGCCCCCAAAGATCTGATGGTAGCAAAAGGAGATCCATTATGAAGAAGGTGTAATGGCACCAAAAGAATAATCACAAATTGCCTGTGTGTGTAATACGTGTTGTGTGGGATGAGGAAAGTGGTTAGGGAAGACTTTCTGGAGGAAGCGAGCTGTCAGCAGGAATTGAAGGTGAGAGAAGAAGTTGGGGGGATCAATGTTAATGGCTGGCTCAGTCATCTTAAACTAGGTTATGCTGTGATAGCAAAACCCCATTGGTTATAACAGCAGAGGTGTAATGCCTGCTGTGCTGAATGTCCACCGTGGGTCTGTGTAGTTCTGTTCCTTCTGTCTTCTGTCCAATACCCAGGCAGGGTGGAAGAGTAAAGACAAACCTGGCAAACCACTCATAGATGCTAAGCCTAGGCTTGGCATATCACTTGTGCCCTCATTTCATTGGCCAGTGCAGATCATATGGCAACACGAGTTCGCAGGTAAGGAGGCATCATTCTTCCATCGGGATCAGCACCACAAGTGACATGGCCAAACCTGAGGTCATGGCAGGCAGATGGCACATAGTCCTCTTGCAGGGAGGGGCAGTGAATCATCTACCAAGATAGCAGTCAAGAAGGGCAGTAATGATGCATTGACAAGCAGGGTTTTATTTCCTGCTTAAAGTTTAAAATACTTAAAGTATTTTAAAACTGAAAGCCTCTGGTTCAAGTTGGTGTTTGGATTAAAGGAAAAAAAAAGGTCAACCAAGGGACATAGGTGTTGCTGATAGCTAAGGACTGCTCTCAGTGGTAGTGGAGCTGGTAGGCAGAGCTGGGACCCTCAAAGCATTCCACATCTACAGTCCTTTCAGTCATATTTTGTCAGTCTCCCAAAATGAGAGAGAGGAGCCCACGTGGTGGCAGCTTCATGTACATCTTGAAGACAGCTCGTTGTTCTGTATTCATAAGGGAGAAAATTCCACTCTCTGTCTTATTGATGTCTCTATTCTGTGTGAAAATTGCCTACAGCTGCTAGTTGTGAGAAAGCCAATGCCAAACCAGAACTTTAAGCTGAAACCATTGGAAAACAAATTATCTTGAGGTTTGTATCTGTCCTGGTGAGTGAAGGATGGATTTTTATCTACTCTTGACTTCAGGGACTTAGACCACAAATCTATCCAATTGCCAGGGGTGGCCTGGGCCAAGAGAGGTAGGCTCAAAGCCACTGCAAGCCTCTGCCCTAGGTTCTCTTGAGTAGTAGCTGAAGCAATTCTGCCTCTGCTCTCGTACAGCAGAGGGAGGCCACATATGGTTGTGGACAGCACCTGGGCTCTGAAGTCAAACAGTTCTTCCAAATGCTGGCTCTGTAGTCTAGGAAAACTTCCTTTAAGATGATTTCTGTTTGAATTTTAGTTTTTTCCTTAACTGTAAAATGGAGATAATACCATCTTGGTGATAGGGTTGGTGTGGAGATAAAAGAAGATAACCTTTAAAAAGTCTGGCACGTCATAAACTTAATAGATGCTTGACACCCCACACACTAATACAGCAAGAAGGATGAAAGATATTCTAGTGTCTTCTAGACACAAGACTCTAATCAAATATTTCGGTTTCTTCTTTTCTTGAAAACTAATCTGCCCTGGTGTGAGCGGGCAAACATGGGTCCTAACTTGCAGGCCATCTTACCTCTTATCTGTTGGAAAGCATCTCATCAGAGCTGGTTGTTGTAAGCTAGTTTCTATTGCCTCATCTGATGAGTTGTTCATTTGATGTTTTTAAAAGTGATACCAAGCAGATTTCTTTCAGAATTGCTTACTGCAAACTTCTCACCTCAATAATAAAAGCAAGCCTCAATAGGAGGTCAGTCATGTGAATCTTTAAAGAAAGTGGGTAGTGTGAAGCACCTCATTCTCTAGCAGGCTCCCTGCAATAGGCAGAAGAATCAGAATTAGTCCAATCCAGGACTTAGCGTCATCTTCCCAGTCTCATCCTGCTTAACTAAAAAAACAAAAAACAAACAAAATACAGCTTTGTCAAGACGTAATTCACCTATGTAAAGTGTGCAATTCAGTGGCTTTTAGTATAGTAACAGACATGTGCAACCATCACCAAAATCCCTTTCAGCAATCCCTCTAGCATGTAACCTCCAAATCCATAAACCATCACTCCTCATTCATCCCTAGCCCCAACATCCCATAACAAACATTAATCTTCACTGTGTCTCTGAGAATTCGCCTACTCTGGACAGTTCATACAAACAGAATTACACAGTATGTGGTCCTCTGTGACTGGCTTCTTTGACTTCATGTACTGTTCACCCTTGTAACATGTACCAGTACTTCATTCCTTTTTATTGGCTAATAACATTCCATTATGTGGATATACCACATTTTTTATATCCATTCATCATTGACAGACGTTTAGGCTCTTGCCAGTTTTTGGTTCCTGTGACTAAAGCTGCTCTAAATATCCATATGTAAATTTTTGCATAGAGATATATTTTAATTCTTGTGGGTTATATGCAGGAGCAGAATTACTGGGTCATATGGTAACATTGTGTTGAACTTTTGAGAAACTTTCAGACTGTTTCAAAGTGGCTGCACCATTTTTCATCTTCCCCCAGCAATGTATGAGGGTTCCATTTCCCCATATCTTTGCCAGCACTTGTTCTTATTCACCCCCTACCAACTGATAAACCAGCTGCTTTTAAAGCTGTTCTGTAGCTCCTAAAGAACTGGGAATTGTGTGTGTGTATGAGTTGTCAAATAGAAATAAAGTCTCCCCGCTAACAAGTTTTAAGTTATTTGGGATATTTACAAATAAAACTTAAGAGTCTGTTTAATCTCTGCTAATCATATATTTCATACCTTTTGAGAATCAGTTCTTTTTTGTTTTTTTCTTTCTCTCCTATCTCCTCCCCTCTCCTACTCTTCCTCTTTGTCAAAATAAAGTACATAACCAATATGAGGTTTAACACTCACCTATTAAAATCAGATTAAGTGATACTCTTTACAGGTTTTTAAAGGTCTTAAATTATCTCAGCCAACCTATCTGAAGAGTCCTAAGCATGACAACTCTATAAATTGTCCTTAATCAAGTAACTTTTCATCTCAATATTAGTAATAAGTGATTTCCCTTGGAATGAACAGAAGAACGAATCATTAATGGACTGATGGATTATTTTGATGTGTGCATGTTAACAGCCTCTCTGCGCCAATCCTGAGGTAACTGGTGAGCAAAAGACACATGGTCCCGTCCTTGGTGATGCTGTGGAGCTGAAGGTCTAGCAGAAAAGACAGGCAACTAAATATGCAATCTTATCAAAGTGATCAAGTGCTGGGAGTGCTGCTCAAGCAGTACATTTTGTCTGGGAAGAAGCTTTATTTATTCCCTTTTTCACGAGGAGGGAGTTTTACTGGAATCACATTCCCAGCCTCTCTTCCAGCTCCCTACTCCTCTTGGGAACATGCACAGCTCAGTCCCTCTCTGTAAACAGTCAACATGCTTTGAGAAAACAAATGTTGTATGACCCTTGGTGCCATACCTTGCACAGGAGTGAGCCCCTTTGAGGAGCTCTGCAGTGGTCCAGCTGTCCCTCTGGGACAGTGGATAAGCATCTATATTACTCAGCATCAATTTTCTGCAGAACCCACTTGTCTGCAGATGAAAGCTGGGTTCTTCATTGCATTTTACATGAGTACAACAAAGGGCATTTTGATTTCCATTGGCTTGATTCCTTAGCTTAGGTGTCAGTGAATACTAATCTTACTGAGGACGGAGGATGCTGTTCACTAATACCTACCCCCATGAGTACGTAACCTAGCGTGAAGGGTCTTGGAAGGCTTCCTGGGGGAAGTGACATTTAATGTGAGACATGAAAAGTAAGAAGGAATCATCCAGGCACAGAGGAAAGAAAAGAATGTTGCAGACAGAAGAGCATGTGTTAGTCCTACAGAGTGAGAGAAGACATGGAAGGCTCAGGTAAATGAAAGAAGTTCAGTTTAAATGACACATAAAAACAGCTGGAGAGATTGGAGATTCTGAGAGACAAGCTTAGGAAAGGTGTGTTGGGGATGGTTGTATTGTTGACTTAAACATATATATATCAAATTCTTCTTTAAAGCAGAGAAAATTGCCTCTGTTTGCTTACACATTTTTTTCAGTGAACCAAATATAATGAAGCAAATCAAAATATTTTGCTATTTGGTTAAATTTACAAAAATAACCATGGTTCTGTTCAGTATTTGTGAGGTGTTGGTAAGTTTAGTGATAGGTGTCATGTATCCCAGGGTAGATTCTTTTCTTAATCTATTTCTTGTTGCTAAAAAGGGAATACCCAAGGCTGGGTAATTTATAAAGAAAAAAAATTATGGTTCATGGTTCTGATGGTTGGAAGATTCAATATTGAGCATCTGCATCTGGTGAGGGCCTCATGGTGGAGGTGAAGAAGAGCCTGCATGTGCAGAGATCAGATGGCTAGAGAAGCGATGGGGTGAGGTGGGAGGTGCTAGGCTCTCTAATGATCAGCTCTCCAGGAAACTAACAGAACAAGAACTCAGTAACCCTGAGGGAGAGCGTGAATCTATTCATAGGAATCCTCCCGCATGACACAAACACCTCCCATTAGGCCCCACCTCCAACACTGGGGATCAGATTTCAATATGAGATTTGGAGGAGAACAAACATCCAAACCATAGCAATTCTGAGTATGTTTTCCTTTGAGCTCAATAACTGAATCGAGGTACCTCCTTGTTACAACATGTACCTCCTCTAGCTACTTTAATTTTAAAATAGAAAAGCACAAAGAGAATTACTGGGAGCACCCCCTGCAGTAGACTTCTGCATACCCCCACAAATAAAGGTTCCCTACAGAATATTTCACAGCAGCAGAGATATTGGAATTGGGGTGTCTTTCTTACAGTTTCTATGACCCTCAGCTTTTTTAAACAGTGAAACACGCAAAATGTCCAACTGCTTTTTCTGTGTGAGATTTTAGGTGAGAAATCCAGGTTTGAAACAAGTCTGGTTACTATTTTTGAAGTGTGTTGTGTATTGTAGTCAGTCTCACCTCTTACAGCACACATACTGTGTATTTGGAATCCATTTCATAGTTTTAGGGGAGAACTTTCATTTCTAATACACTACATCACTGTGAATTTATAGCTAGTTGGAAATAATATGCAGTATAAACCCAAGTTTTTCTAAGCCTGACATGTTTCCAGTTCCATTTTATACTATTTTCTGGTTAATCTGCCTTCTTTCAAATCCAGTACTTAGATTTTCATTTATTAGGCCAATGGGTCTAATGTTTGATGATAATAGTGTGCTGTGCCTTCCAGGAAATGTAAAATATTTTAAAGAAACTTGTTGAGAAATTCATCACTAGTCACAAACCCACCATTTATTACTAGGGAAATTTAAAAGGAAAACTAGAATCCCAGTGGGAAGATAGTGATGGTGGATATTGAAGGATGACGATAAGATTTGGACTGTCAAAATATAATTATAAATTACTAGAGCCTTATATTAAGTACTGAGGACATTCTCAGGATTAGTCATCAGCATAGAATTTGAGAAATGAAGATAGTAGGAATGAAAGAATTTAGATGATACATCAGATGTAGATAAATTCACAGTCAAAGTAAGTTGTGCCAAATGAAGTCAGTTGGGATCCTACGTCAGTAATCTCTTCATTTTTTATGTATTCTGAAGTCACTTTGGTATGAAAGGAGCTACAGGAACCCAAGTTAGTCCTAAGGATTTACCAGAGTACATATTTTGTTCTTCTACTAGCCTTGTGAATTGTTACTCCTTTTCTCAGGCTGTCAGCATAATTTCTCTCTCTTATAACTAAGGCTTATTTTAAGCTCTCCTTAATAATAAAATACTTCTTTTGTTACAAAAATCAATGAAAAGTTTCAACACTTTTTATTTCTTTATTTTTAAACTTACCTTTTATGTGAATACCATGACTAACAATAGAAAGTAACCTACAGGAGCAACTCAGTTCCCTGTCTCCAACAAAGATGAAAAAAATTGCATAGAAGGAACATTCCATTTTAAACTGATAGAAGGAAAAAAAATTGTTGTAAAGAGTCATAGTTTTAATCTATTGCTTCTTAATTAGAGTATAAAGGATTGCTTTGTAATTACCCAGAGAAAATCAGACTGTATAAGTCTTCAAAGATAGATGCCTACAATAGTGTCAAAGTATTCAGTTGTCTGGAGGCCAAAATTCAGATTCTGATGAAGGAATTGATATTAAAATTGTTCTGTTTCCATGGGATTAAAATTTGGTTTTATTTGACAAACCTATAAACTTAAAAAGAGAGAATTTTGTTTAGCTAAAGGAAATAATAATTTGACAGAGATTAAAAGGATATTGGCTGGGTGCAGTAGCTGGCTGGGCACGGTGGCTCACACCTATAATACCAGCACTTGGGAAGACTGAGGTGGGCAGATAATTTAAGGCTAGGAGTTCGAGGCCAACACGGTGAAACCCCATCTTTATTATTAATAAAATTAGCCAGATGTGGTGGCACATGCCTATAACCCCAGCTACTCCAGAGATTGAAACAAAAGAATTGCTTGAACCTCAGGAGACGGGGGTTGCGGTTAGCCGAGATCAGGTCACTGCACTCCATCCTTGGCGACAGAGCAAGTCTGTCTATCTCTCTCAGCAAGTCTCTCTCTCTCTCTCTTTCTATATATATATATACACACACACATATATACATATGTCTGTATATATGTATATATATGTGTGTGTGTGTGTCCCAAAGAGACCTGAATAGTATGGGCCTACTTAGCTTTTAGCTACAATTTAAAATCTGACCATTTAACTTAATCCTTATACTACCATGTGCAAATTATACAAAGTCAATATAGTATACTGACATTCTCATTCTCTCTATATATGGGGCT